TCGCTTCCCAAGAGATTGGATTTAGGTAAAAGGGCCTTGTCGGCCACCGCTTTTATTTTCATTCATTTTTCCTATTAAAAAAAAAAGAAAAGACCCCCGCTCGAACTAACTTTCAACGCTCGAACTCCAGAACGAAACTCAAGTCATTGCTCATTCCCGCTCATGCTTGCTATAACAATTCCCTTGCCTACTAGACTTGTCTAAGAAAAGATGCACGAGCCACTCTTTCTCTTATATACGGTATTTTAAGATAGTGATTTGAATGCCTATCCCCTGCCTATGCTAAGCCTTTACTACCTACCCTTACCTGTCCGCCTTGAACTACTGCGCCTGCGCATACCTTTTCTTGCTCCATCCAGAAGGTAGCTTGAACTGGCATTGTACAGATAGATAGCCAGTAGAAAGAACTATTCCCAAGCTGGAGAGGTGGGAGAGGAGAGAAATTGAAGTGGATCTCCTATCTATATTCGACAGCTTGAAGAGGGCGGATTTAGAAAGCAAAATTTTCATTGAAAGCGATTGTGCCTACCACAGTCAAGTTCGGTATTTACTAGCAAGGAAAAGGGTAGGATCTACCAAGACGGGTGGCATGTGAACCGCTTTGGAGTGAATCGGTTAAGAACCGCAGATGGCACATCGAATCCCCGCAGCCACTTTGCTGAGTTGATAGATAGATAGATGAACTAGCCCGAGGACCAAAGGAGAGTACTTCTTTTGCCATTGGAAGCTGCTGTCAGTAGGCATTCTTTGCGCCAGAAAGAGAGATTGTATTGTAGCTTAACTTCTTAAACAAAGCCGGCTCCAGTTCTATTCAGAATAGGGCAAGAAAGCGACTTGCCGCCTCAGTCACGAAGGAATACCGAAGAGCCTAAAGAGGGTGTTAGAATGCAGCTAGATAGAGAACTATAAGATAAGAGGGATTCCATGGGTGAGAAGGCTGACATGAAGGCTCTCATTCCAAACCGGTAAAGCGCAAGGGGCAAGCAGTTGACTCTTTCACTCGGACTCACTAGCAACTCCAGGAGCGACCCCTCATCATCTTACGATGAAAAGCAGGTTTATTCCGTGGTAAACCACAACGAGTAAGCGAGATAGGGTGAGGTAAAGCCTCAGACCGGTCAAAGGAGCCTCCGTAAAACCTCATCAGACAGGTAGCGGAAGCTGATAGAAAGGGGCGATGAGCTCAGTAGAGGAGAAGCCGTCCTGATGAAATAGAAAGCCCTAGCTATGAGTGACTCAAATCTAGCCGTGATGCGCGAGGGCCAATATTCAAATGAAAGCAAGGGGCTGATTGCCCTCATGGGGAAGGGATGAATACGAGCAGTCGGAAGAGCAGCTCTCTCAGAAGCAACCAATCCAAGAATTGATGGATTTGGTAGAGTGCCAGTCACAACACTAGAACCAAGTTAGGTGAGCTTGAAGGCATCGGTTGAAGCCCTTAGTTGCAAGGTCTTTGACTGTGCCCAAGAAAGGGATGGATAATAGATCTTAGATAGTTCCCACTTCCACTTAACAAAGGAAAGATATCACACACTACACAAGACAATCATGTGCAAGCTGCTTGAGTTGAATCAGCCTCAATTCCTCTCTCACTCACGATGAAAGCTAAGAGCTTGCTCGAAGACAGCCTTTACTTTATAGTTGTAATCTATCCTATCCTATCCTTTAGGCGGGGATAGGTTCATAGGAGGACTTGGTTACATAGGAAGGAAAGGCTTAAACTAGAAGGGATAAGAAAAGGAATTTGTGCAACACTCTTAGTAGAAGGCCGAGTTGAAACTCCCTCTATCCGCGTACAGGACAAGCAAGTTATTGAGGGCTCTTTATGCCAAATACTTTGACACTACAGGGGAGAAAACCAGAAATCTCCTAAGCAATAAAGATCTTCCTATTGATACTAGCATTAGTGCGACTGGCTCCCGGGGAAAAGGAATTACACTAGATCTTGGCAATGGCACTCCAACAAGCTCGGCAGGGAGAGAAAGAAGAGAAGGAGAAGAGGAAGTACGACGAAAAGGGTATGAAATAGGTTGCTTGTAGCGATTTCGATTGCTTATTCGGTTGGATTACCAGCCGACTTGCCTGACCAAAGAATAAGATAAAAAGAAGAGTTCCCGCCTACGGCTACATGCCCATTCAGAGCTATACCTGGAGTCGAGCTAACTGCATAAGAAAAGGGGAACTTTCCTAAAAAGCCTAATAGCAATTAACCGCATTGGAAACGACGAATCACACTCTGAAAGGAGGCACCTCCCTTATTACGTTACGGTCGAACCTCGCCTTTCTTCCTTCCTCTCCCGTTGGTCGAGCGTCTTTCAAACCTTCGCTCCAATACTTTCGAACAACTCTCGTACCCTTCGCTCATAAGCTAACTAGAGCATGCCTTCGATCCGGCGTGAACTCTTTGCATTGCCTTTAGAGTAGATGTAGTAGATTGAGATCTCTCGACAACCGTAGAGGTTAAGGTTCCAACCTGGGATTGTAGTTCAATCGGTCAGAG